GATGGTATCCCAATGTGGTTTTGATTTGCATTTCCCTAATGACCAATAATGATGAACATGTTTTCATATGTTTGTTGGCCACATAAGTGTCTTCTTTTGAAAAGTGTCTGTTCATATCCTTCACTCAGTTTTGAATGTTTTTTTTTTTCTTGTAAATCTATTTTAGTTCTTTGTAGATTCTGGATATTAGGCCTTTGTCTGATGGGTAGATTGCAAAAATTTTTTTCTCATTCTGTTGCTTGCTGGTTCACTCTAATGATTATTCATTTTGCTGTGCATAAAATCTTAAGTTTAATTAGATCCTATTTGTTTATTTTGACTTTTGTTGTCATTGCTTTTGATGTTTTAATCATGAAGTCCTTGCCTGTGCCTATGTCATGGATGGTGTCATGGATGGTGTTGCCTAGGTTTTCTTCTAGGGTTTTTATGGTGCTCTTATGTTTAAATCTTTAATCCATCTGGAGTTAATTTTTGTATAAGGTGTAAGGAAATGGTCCAGTTTCAGCTTCCTACATATGGATAGCCAGTTTTCCCAACACCGTTTATTAAACAGGGAATCCTTTCCCCATTGCTTTTGTCTAGTTCGTCAAAGATCAGATGGTTGTAGATGTGTGGCATTGTTTCCAAAGCCTCTGTTCTGTTCCATTAGTTTATATCTCTGTTTTGATACCAGTACCATGCTGTTTTGATTACTGTAACCTTATAGTATAGTTTGAAGTCCCAGTTGCTCTTCTTGAGGAATATCTTTATGGTGTTCTCTGTATGTCCTAAATTTGAATGTTGGCTTGCCTTGCTATGTTGGGGAAGTTCTCCTGGATAATATCCTGACGAGTGTTTTTGAGCTTGGATTCATCCTTCCCAGCACATTCAGGTACACGAATCAAACATATAGATTCAGCCTTTTCACATAATTCCATATTTCTTGGAGGTGTTGTTCATTTACTTTCACTCTTTTTTCTCTAATCTTGTCTTTTCATTTTATTTCATTGAGTTGATGTTCAATCTTTGATATCATTTCTTCTGCTTGATCAATTTGGCTATTGAAACTTGTGTGCTTTTTGAGGTTCTCTTGCTGTGTTTTTCAGCTATGCTAAGTTGTTTATGTTCTTCTCTAAGCTGGTTATTCGAGTTAGCATTTCATCTACCCCTTTTTCAAGGTTTTTAGTTTCTTTATATTGGATTAGAACATATTCTTTTAGCTCAGAGAAGTTTGTTATGAGCCACCTTCTGAAGCCTGCTTCTGTTAATTTGTCAAACTCATTCTCCATCCTGTGTTGTTCCCTTGCTGGTAAAGAGTTGTGATCTTTCAAGGGTGAAAGAGGAGAGGCATTCTGGTCTTTGATGGTTTCATCTTTTTGTGCTGGTTTCTTCCCACTGTTGTGGATTTATCTACTTTTGATCTTTGAAGTTTGTTGATTTTGGATGGCTTCTTTAAGTGGACGTTCTTTCTGTTGATGTTGAAGCTATTTCTTTTTGATTTTTAGTTTTCCTTCTAACAGTCAGGTTCCTCTGCCATAGGATATCTGGTGGTCTACTCCAGACCTTGCCGTAGGATATCTGGTGGTCTACTCCAGACCTTGCTTGCCTGGGAATCATCCTTGGAGGTTGCAGAAGAGCAGGGATTGCTGCCTGATCTTTCCTCTGGTAGGTTCATCCCAGAAGGGCACCCACCGGGTTTTAGCCAGAGCTCTTTTGTATGAGGCATCTTTTTGGTTATGCAGGGGTCAGGGGGCCACTTGAGGAGGCAGTGTGTCCCTTGTCTGCCTGCAGAGGTCTTGCTGGGCTGTCACAGACTCAGTCCAGCTGCTGTGTAATCTTCCTCTCGCTTTTGTTTACACTGGTAACTTTAGACCCACCTCAGCAATGGTGGACGCCCTTCCCCACACTGAGCTCAATCATCCCAGGTGGAGCTCGACCTGATGTCCTGGCTGTGAAACTCTCAAGTAAGAGGGCTTCAGTTTGCTTGTATTTTTGGGAGTGGGACCCTCCCAGCCATATCACCTATCTCCCTGCTTTCAGCTTGCCCTCTTTCTGGGGATTGGGTAGCTCCATCCCATAGGTGCTCTTGACGCTAATCAAAACATACATCCTGTTCCGTGCTGACAACCCATGGCACTGGCCCTAGCTGCCACTCAGATCTGTGCTGGTAACTCATGGGGCTTTTCGGCCCAGTTGGGATCTCCTGTTCTATGGGTTGCAGAGGCTGTGGGAGAAGTGCGGTATAGAACCAGAGTGCTGGGGCCTGGGGGACGTTCCTGATCCTATAATCAATTGCACTTTCTGGTTGAGGTAGTGCTCCACCCTGCCTTAGTTTGCCCTCCTGGGGCTACACCCAGTGTCCAACCAGTCCCATTGAAATGAACCTGGTACCTAGGTTGGAAATGTGGAGATCACTCACCTTCTACATCTCTCTCTCTGGGAACTGCGCTCTGGAGCTGTTCCTATTCAGCCATCTTGGCAGAATACCCTATATTCTTTTCTATACAAGATATTTTGCCTGTCAGCTCCTGTAACGTTTCAGTCCACATTCTTAATGTTGTTTCTGTAATTTCAACCATCTCAGCCTAGTTCAGAACCCTTGCTAGAGGGCTAGTGTGATCATTTGTAGAGAAGAATGCACTCTGGCTTTTTAAGCTATCAGATTTCTTATGCTGGTTCTTTCTCATCTTTGTGGGCTAATTTTTTTTAGTCTTTGAGGTTGCTGTCCTATGGATGATTTTTTTTCTTTTGTTTGATGACCTTGATAGTTTGATTGTGGTATTTGGTGGGTACAGTCAATTTGCTTTGTTTCTGGAAGATATTAGGGGGGCAGGGCTCACTCTGATGGGGGTGGCAGCTAAAGCATTTCATAGGGCTGTGGCAGTGGGATCTGTTCTTGTTCACATGACCTACCAGCAGTGACAGCAGCAACATTGTGGGGTGCATGCTTGTTGGTTACCACAGTATATTAGCAGATGCCAGATTGCAGTCCTCCATATGGGTGTTTGCAGGAGCAGAGGAGGTAGCATTGCTTGGAGAGTTGGGGAACCCTAACTTGTTACTGTGTTCCTGGTCATGCCAGTGTTGGTGTCAGCACAGGGGTGGGTGTTGGCAGGAGCAGTACTGTGTATGCCCCTGTGCACATTGACACAGCTGGACGTGGCCTCTCAGGGTGGCAGAGGATCTTCTGTTTTCTGAGCCTCGTTTCACTCCAGTAGCAATATTGGCACAGAGGCTCATGGGGCAGTGCTGATAGGCCCTTTGCCCATAAAGACTCTGACTGCAATGTCGGTACATTTGGGGAATGGGAGGAAGAATGCAGTCACACTGGCAGCAGTGGCAATGCAAGGTGCACATCCACATGTGCACACACACTGGTGGGACAGAGAAGGCAAGGTCTATCAATGCACAGTCATAGTAACCAAGCAACATGGGGTGTGTTCATATGCTTTTGGGAAGCTGCAGTGCAGTGTGGGAGGGGACAGGCTGTTATGTATCTGTGGGGGACCCTCTGCTGGAACTCTTTTCTGGTCAGGTATGGTTCACCATTGCAAGATCTACAATGTAGGCCCCCAGGGCACCAGAAGCCACACTTCAAGCATGTCCATTCAGGCTGGAGCCGTGGGAGAGGCCAGGAGATCAAGGGGTATTCAGGTTGGACTATCAAGGGGTGTTCAGGTTGGACTGGTTTTGTGTAATAGACCAGAAAATTCTGTAGAGTTTAGGTCTGACAGTTCCCCTAGTGCCAAAGTTTCCTATGGGAGCAAATTGAGCCTAAGAAGGTGGCCATTCATGGCTGTGCTCCACTATAGACATTTCCACATCAAACCCTCTGGGCTCTCTACACCAGCTGGAGTGCTGTCCCTACCACTTCTCTAAATAACTTTCCCTGCCAAATCAAGTGTCCGTGGTAGGGGAGGGGTCTCCTGTCAGAATTCCAGAAGCCCATTGTAGAGCATGTTGCTCCTTGCCAGTTCAACTCACTCATTCCCCCAGAGTTGTTGGAGGCCAAGAACAAGTTCTGGTGCACTGTAGCCCTGTGCATTGCCCTCAGCTTTCTCCTCCTTCAGCCAAGCTTCTATGTCTTCCTTCTGTCCACTCTTAGTGCCATACCTCTGAAGATCTGTTAGGAGTGTACCAGTTGCCCTGGTCCCTCCACTGAGGTTCACCTGGCTGCATCTAGCCAGTCATCTTGCCCAGCTTCTCCAGTATTACAACATATTGTTTTGTGTATATGTTTACTTTTGGCATTGGAGGTTATACTTTCATTTGTCTTTGTGCTGTTTTCTATTTATATCAACTTTTATGTCAACTTCAAAGGACTCACTTTAGCATTTTTCACCACATCTATTGGTGATAAACTCTTGCTTTTGTTTATATGGGAAATTATTTCCTTTTTATTTAGAAAGACAGTTTTTCTGGATATATTGTTGGTTAAGATTTTTTTTATTACTTCAAATCTATCATATAATTCCTTTCTGCCCTGAAAGATTTCTGCTGATAAATCTACTGATAGTTTTATGGGACTCTCTTGTATGAGTCACATCTTCTTTCACAATTTTTACTTTGTCTTTGACATTTGACAATTTAGTCGTAATGTAGTCAGTTTGAAGTCCTTTGGGTTCCTCTTAGTTGGGTTCTGTTGGGCTTCTTGAGTTTGGATGTCCATATTCTTTCTGGAATATTTAGGCTATTATTTCTTTAAATAATTGTTCTGTCTCCTTATCTCTCTTTCTTTTAATATCATATTGCATATATTGGTCCACTTGATTTTGTCCCTTAAGTCCTTTTAGACTTTCTGCACTTCCTTTTATTCTTTTTGTTCCTCTGACTAATAATTTCAAATTACCTGGATTCAAATTTGCTGCTTCTTTCTTCTGGTTGATTAAGTGTGCCGTTGAAACTGTCTAGTGAATTTTTCAGTTTTTTAAATTGTATTATGTAGCTTAAAATTTTCTGTTTGGCTCCTTTTATGTTTTAAGTTGATTTGTAGTTTTCATTTTATTCATGTATTATATTTTCCTGAGCTTGTTGAGCATCTTTATGATGGATATTTGAATTATTTGTCAGATATATATGTCAGATAACTCATATACCTCCTTTACTTTAGGGTCAGTTCCTGGAGACTTATTTTGTTGTTTTGGCTTTGTGCCATGTTTCCTTGTTTCTTTGTTTGCTTTGTACCTTTGTGTTGGATCCATGCATTTAAGAAAATAGCCACTTCGCCAAGTCTTTATAAATTGGCTTTGTACAAGCAAAGACCTTCACAAATCAGCCTAATTAGAGATTCTGGGGTCCTCTTAGATATTTTCTGTGTATATTTCTTCTCTGAGTTTGTGTATGCAAATTTTTAATTAAGCAGATTTGTTTGTTCACATCTCATTTAGTTCTTAGTGTCCCCGAAGCTTCTAGAGTATACTGAACCATATCAGTATTTTTAATCTAGTAAAATAGATTAAAGTCTGTTTTAAAGTAAAACAAGTTTCTTGGTCAGACCCCAAAAAGCTATAACATTGAACACACACTTTACTCTTCTCTCTCCCCTCCCAGATGGAGAAACCGTTGAGCTATGTTAACCTCCATCTTCTTTACTGCACCTCCTGCGGAATAGCAGCAAATCACTCACATCTCTTTTGTTTTCAGCATTCCTCAGACATCTAGAGTATGACAGCCCTGTCAGCCTTCTGAGAAAGATGAGACACAAACCTATTTCTCTAGCAGTTCCCCCAAAAAGACAGAATGTGGGACATAGGCCACAACTTTTTCCCTTTCTAGAGAGAAGCTGAGACTTGGGAGTTTTCACCCTCTCATTCTATGCCAAGCTGGGAGGAGGGATTATGGTGAGTGAGTGCTTTTTGTCTAAACTTTCACCCTTGTTCTCAGTAACCTTAAACCTAGCACACTTTTTCACGAGTGTCCAGATACAGGAAAGACAGAAATTATTTCCTCAGCTTTCCCCCAAAAAAATCTTCATGTTGGACATATGTTTCAGCCTTCTTCTTTTCCTCTCTAGGAAGAAGCCAAGAATTGGGAGTTTTCTTCTGATCATACTATGCTGAGTTGGGCAGAGAGACCATGGCAAGTGAGTACCATGAATTTTCCTACCAGCTTCAGTGTGGCTGGTTTTTAGCTTGTCTGTGATGCAGGAGCCTTCTAACTAGTTTCTGGATTTCTCTTTAAGGGAGTTGATCTGTGTATTTTTGCTTGTTGCATTGGTGCCCCTTGGGGGAAGGAAGTTCTCTGACTTTCTTTCTATTCTTTCCACCATCTTGCTGACATTACCAGTCTCTATTTTATTATTTGTTTTATTTCTTCTCTTTCTTCTTCCTTTTTTTTTTTTGAGACAGGGTCTTGTTTTATTACCTAGGTTGCTGGAGTGCACTGGTGCAATCGGATCATTGCAGCCCTGAACTCCTGGGCTCAAGTGACCCTGTAGCTAAGACTACGGGCATATGCCACCATACCTGGCTTTTTGTTTCATTGTTGTAGAGATCATATCTCACCATGTTACCCAGGCTGGTCTCGAACTCCTGGCTGCAAACAGTCCTTCTATCTTAGTCTTCCAAAGCACTGGGATTACAGGAATGAGCTACCATGCCTGGCTTGTTGCCTCTGTTTCTTGTTATTCTTCAAATACTAGTTCAGCCCCACATTCTTTCTCATCTCCAGCTGGGATTCTGATGATAACATTTAATTGTCCTATCTTTTGTTATTGTTCCACAGATCCCTGAGGCGCTCGCTCGCTCGCTCTCTCTCTCTCTCTCTCTCTCTCTCTCTCTCTCTTTTTAATACTATTTTTTCTGTTTGCATTGAGTAAGTTTTGTTGATATATGTTTAACTTAACTGATTCTGTTGTTTCTCACCTCTAATCTACTATTGAATCCATCTGGTGAGTTTTTAATTCAATTTTGGCTGTTGTAATTTTTAATTCTATAATTTACATTTGATTAAAAAATATCCTATATCTTTGTTTGCATTTGTTTAAAGATATTTTTAATTACTTGTTGAAGCACTTTTATGACAGCAGTTTTAGCACCTTTATCAGATGATTCCAACTTCAGAGTAATCTTCGTTTTAGTGTCAGTTAATTATATTTTCTCAGTCAAATTGTCATTTTCCTAGTTCTTTGCATAAGGAGTGATTTTCCATTTCACCATGGATATTTTGGTTACTGTTTTAGGAATCTCTTGATCCTGTTTAAATCTTCTGTTTTAGCAAGCAATGATCCTTTTTAGGTTTAGAATATAGGTTCTGGCCTACTATTGTGGGGTTTAAACTAATGACAAATTAGTTTTCAGAGCCATTTTAATGCCATTATAATGTGTTTTGTCGTTCTGATGCTGCTGCAGCTCCCATTCATTCCCTATTAGTGCCATCTGCCATAGCACAAAGTACTCTCCTGGACCACCTGGTTTCATTGAGTCACAAGCTACTGGAACTAGGTCTTCTTGTGCCAGTTAATAGAGGACTAGAAAATGGTGGTGTCATCCTGGGTTTGGAATGGAAATTCGGTGGGACCAGCCTTTCTTTGCTTCCACTGTGAGTAAACCTGCCTGCAAGTGCTACAGGTGTTGAACCAGGCTTGAGCTGAACTGCTGGAAGTTCTCTGCTACTTCTGTGAGCTATCAGTGTTCTAGGTGTGGATCAGGAGTTAAGATGGCACATCAGGGTTTGGAAGCTACTTATGTGAGCAAATCAGCCCACATGCTGATTTTCTTGTTTTGGGTGGAAGTTGGATCTTCCAGGACCTTTGCAGCTGCCTCTGTGCAAATCAGGTTATCTTTGGGAAACTTGGTTATAGAACAGGAGTTGGGGCTCTCCACTAAGGTTCCTGTTGGACTTTTTACCAGAATGTAGGCCAGAGAAAGCAGGGTTAAATTTCTTTTTGTTTTTGTTATTGTAATTGTTGTTGTTTATGCCTGTTGGCAGTTCTGTATCACAGGTCTCCCCACTGCCTAATTTGGGATATTTAGGAAGTAACAAGAAAACTCAGGGAACTCATAGCACTCTTATTCCTCAAATCTTTAGGTTGCTAATTCATACACTTTCTTACCACATTTTAGAGTCATTTTATTATTTCTGTTCAGTAATTTTCAGAGTTTTTAGTTGAATTTAGAGGATGGTAGCATGGAAAAGTAAGTCTACACCATCTTGTTCCAGAGACTCTGGACATAATTTAATGGTAAAATTAACAAGATTTGGTGATAGATTGCATTTTGGGTGTGAGAGAAAAAGATTCAACGGTTGTTTTAAGGATTTTATTCTAAGCAACAAAGTTAGTGGTGGCACCATCTACCAAGAAGGGAAACACTGGAGGAAAACCAGGTCTGGTGGGATTAGGGCTGGGAATTAAGAGTTTGTTACGTTTGAGGTATGTAAGTGATAATGTCTAATACAAAGTTGGATTTACCAATATGTATTTCAAGGATGGAGATATAAGTTTGAAAGTCATCAGATTATAAATTGTAAATGCAGTTACGAGAGTAAGTACAATAACTTAGTGAATGAGTATAGAGAAGAGAATAAGTCCAAGGACCTACTCTGGCACATTCCTACATTTATAGTTCAGGGAGTAAAAGAATCTAATGAAACAGATGAGAATGAGTAGCTGGTAAGGTAGGAGGAACATAAGAACAAATTATTGTCATGAAATCCAAGTGAAGTAGATGTTTCCAGAATGAGGGCATAACCAATTGTCACAAATAGTGCTGAGAGATCAAGCTAGATGTAGTTTGAGGATTGAATATAGGATTTGGCAATATGGAGATTATCAGTGATCTTAGTAAGAGAGATTTCAGTGGAGCCTTGAAATCAAAGTGATTGAAGTATTTTCAGGAGAGTGATAATACATGGTATGGAGACAGGGAGAACAGACAGCTCTCTTGAGGAATTTTTTTTGTTTTATTTTTTTGGGTACATGGTAGGTGTATATAGTAATTGGGTACATGAGACATTTTGATATAGGCATGTAACACATAGCAATCACATTGTAGAAAATGAGTCATCCATACCCTCAAGCATTTATACTTTGTGTTAGAACAATCCAATTATACTTTTTAAGTTAAGTTAAAATGTACAATTAAATTATTGTTTGCTATAGTCACCATTTTTTGCTATCAAATATTAGATCTCATTCATTCATTCTTTCTAATTTTTGTACCCATTGTACCCATTAGTTATCCCCATTTTCCCCAAAGCCCCCCAATACCCTTCTCAGCCTCTGGTAACCATCCTTCTACTCTCTATCTCCACAAGTTCAATTGTAGATTCCACAAATGAGTGAAAACATGTGATGTTTCTCTTTCTGCACCTGGCTTATTTCACTTTACATAATGAGTGAGTGCCAACTGAGTGGCAGTACAAGAGAACACTAGGTAGACTTGTAAGGTTTTTGACTTCAGTCTCTAACACTTGGATGGCACCTCTGGACCCACCTGGGACCTGAGGGACCTCACTGTCCTGAAGGAAAAAATACAGGCCTGGTCTGGCTTGCTTTGCCACCTTCTGATTAAGGAGCCCCAAGGCCTAGAGTGAACATAGGCAGTAGCCAAGGGGTGGTTACATCAGTCCTTGGGCAAGACCTAGTGCTGTACTGGATTCAGATCTGACCCAGCACAGTCATAATGGTGGTGGCCAGAGGGGTGCTTATGTCATTCCACCCCTACTATAGGTTGCTCAGAGTGCAGAAAGAGACTGTGTGGGAGAAAGAAAGGGAAGAGTGCAAACATACGCCTGGTAATTTGAAGAATTTTTCTGAATTTTGTCCAAGACTATCAAGGCAGTACCTCTATAAATCTGCAAGAACCACTGTGTTACTGGACTGAGGTTACACACAAAAGGAGATACAGATTAGAACACAACATGGAAATACTTTTAAATATCTGAAAAGCCTTCCTGAGAAGGAAAAGTACAAACAAGCTCAGACAGTGGACTACAATAAATCCTTAGCTCTTGAATACCCAAACACTAAAGGAAATATACTGACATCAACACTACCCAGGGAAACATGACCTCACCAAGTGAATTAATTAAGCCACCAGGGGCTAATCCCAATAAACAGAGATAGATGATCTTTCAGACAGATAATTCAAAATAACTGGGTTGAGGAAACTCATAGAAGTTCAAGATAACACAGAGTTGGAATTCAGATTTCTCTCATATATATTTAACAAAGATATTAAAATAATTTTTAAAAATTAAGCAGAAATTCTGCTGCTGAAAAATTCAGTTGACATATTGAAGACTGCATTGGAGTCTCTCAACAGCATAATTGACCAAACAGAAAAAAGAGTAATGAGCTCGAAGACAGACTTTTTGAAAATACAGTTTGAGGAAACAAAAGAAAAAAGAATAAAATCAATGAAGCACATATATAAAATCTAGAAAATATCCTCAAAGGGGCAAATCTAAGAGTTACTGACCTTAAATAAGAAGTAGAGAAAGAAAGAGATGGGGTAGAAAGTTTATTCAGAGATAATACATAGAAGTCCCAAACCTAGAAAAAAGATATTATAAGAAGTTTATAGATCACCAAGCATATTTAACTGAAAGAAGACTACCTCAAGGCATTTAATAATCCAACTCCCAAATGTCTAGGATAAAGAAAAAATTCTAAAAGCAGCAAGAGAAAAGAAAGAATTAACATACAGTGGAATGTCCAAATATCTAGCAGTAGATATTTCAGTAGAAACCTTACAGGCTAGGAGAGAGGGCATGATATATTAGAAGTGCTAAAGAAAAACAACAAAAAAAAATAAAACTCTCACTCTATAATAGTATATCTGGTGAAAATATCCTTCAAACATGAAGGAGAAATAAAGGCTTTTGAGCAGTGCAGCTATGGTGGTGGCAGCAGTGGCAGTGGTTGCAATTTGGAGCCATTGAGATGCCTCTGTGGCAGCTTGTGGCACAAGTGGCTTGCATGGATGTGGGTATAGGTGTCCGCCAGTAACCTCAACCTTGGCATCCACGGCCCCAGCATGTGTGTCCAGAAGCCTCAAGGCGTCCTCCGCCACCCACTGGCCTAGGAGCATGGCTTGTGTCCGCCGCCCGCGTTCCCATGCTGCTGCATCTCCGCACCACCTCCCGGGCTTTGGATCCCCAGCTGCGCCCCTGAAACATGACTAGTGATTTCAAATCTGTAGACCTCATCTTCACCAAGATGAAAGGTTGTCCCCATTGACCAGCTCGAGTAGATGAAGTTTATGATGGAGCTATAAAGCCAACTACAAACAAACTACCCATTTTCTTTTTTGGAACCCATGAGACTGCTTTTTTAGGACCAAAGGATATATTTCCTTACTTCAAAAATAAGGAAGAGCATAACAAACCAAATAAAAGAAAAGGTTTTAATGAAGATTTATGGGAGACAGATAACAATACAAAAGTGAAATTTTCAAGTCGACAGGCAGCAACTGAACAATCAAATGCATCATCTGATGTTGAAGTTGAAGAAAAGGAAACCAGTGTTTCAAAGGAAGATACCATGAAGTAAAGGCCAGACATGAGGATGTGACTAAAGCAGTTGACATAACTAGTCCGAAAGCTGCCAGAGGAGAAAGAGAAAGACAGAAAAACAAGTAGAAACTGAGAGTGCAGGAGTAGTGACAACAGCAACAGCATCTGTTAATCTAAAAGTGAGTCCTAAAAGAGGATGACCTGCAGCTACAGAAGTCAAGATTCCAAAACCAAGAGGCAGACCCAAAGTGGTTAAACAGTTCTGTCCTTCAGATAGTGACATTGTTACTGAAGAGGACAAAAGAAAAAGGGTTAAGAGGAAAAACAACCTAAAAAGCAGCTTAATAAGGAGGAAGAGGGCCAGAAGGAAGAAGATAAGCCAAGAAAATAGCCAGAGAAAAAAGAGAGGAAGAAAGAAGTTGAATCAAAAAGGAAAAATTTAGCTAAAACAGGGGTATGTCAACCTCTGATTCTGAAGAAGAAGGATATGATCAAGAAGGTGAAAAGAAGAGAAAAGGTGGGAGGAACTTTCAGACAACTCACAGAAGGAATATGCTGAAAGGCCAACATGAGACAGAAGTGGCAGATCGAAAATGCAAGTGAGAGGAACAAGTGGAAACTGAGCAGTGGAATAAAGATGAAGGAAAGAAGCCAGAAGATAAGAAAGTGGAGAAGTGAGAAACATCAATGGATTCTCGACTTCAAAGGGTACATGCTGAGATTAATAATTCACTCAAAATTGATAATCTTGATGTGTACAGATGCATCTGGAGACCTCATCTTCACCAAGGTGAAAAAATACAGTGATTCAAAGTTAGGTTATCATGAAAATCTACAATGTTGTATAACAGGTTTAAGAAACATGTTTTTGGTTGGTGAAGGCAATTCTGTGATCACACAAATGCTGAATAAATCTCTTGCTGAACAACAACAGCATGAGGAAGTGAATAAAACCAAAGATCAAGGGAAGAAAGGGCCAAACAAAAAGCTAGAAAGGGAACAAACAGGGTCAAAGTCTCTAAATCGGGGATCTGGTGCTCAAGACAGCCACAACATAACGGGGAGAGCAATGAAGAGAGCTAAGATAACCATGAAGCCAGCATGAAGAAAAAACCATCCAGTGAAGAGAGAGAGACTGAAATATCTCTGAAGGATTCTACACTAGATAACTAAGTTGACATACCTAGAATATAGAGAATACTTGAGAATTTTGTAATGGTTTTTATTTGAAATAGACTGATGGAAGTTTTAAATTTTTACAAGAATAGGTTTTCATGTTGAAAACTTGTTTTGAGGGAGAAAAATTCCTTTATCTTTGTTTTAAAGTAACTAAACATTATCTCTAAGTGTACTTGTGCAGTATTAAGAGCTACATTATACAGTAAATGTGAGGTAAAATCCATTTAGAAAATGTTAAACTGCTTTTCCAGATGTGGTTGTAGCATATTTTCAATTAGTATGAGTATTTTATTGTGTAATAGATAGTAGAACAAAGTTACATTTTTAAAACTGCTGCTTGTATAAACCTTTCCTCCTTTTCCAAATACCATGGGTTTTGTGCATAGTTTTACAAACCTTGGATTTACCAGACTGTCTTTTCTCTGTTTGTGCGTTTTGTAGAAGCTGAGCATTTTTATTGTAGATAAAATGTTACTTTATAAAAGTACTCCCCTTTTATCAAAAGTTAATTTTAATCTCACAGTTTACGTTGTGCTACATTATCTGACTTCTTTGGAACAATGTGTAGTCTGTATGTTTTTTTTTTTTTGGGGATGACAACTGGTTAACCAACTGACATTGAATTGATTGAGAATTCTACAAATTATAAAACTTACATTAATATTTGAAGGTGATTTTGTTTTGTGGCTGGGCATTCAGTGAAGTCTTATGACTTTTCTGCAGATAACAGACTGGGTATATATAGGAATGAATCTGGCTTTAGTGTTAAATCATTTAAGGTCCTTTTACAGGCAGGCACTAGTAACTAAAACTAAAAACTAAACAAGTTTATTTTTGAAAATGGCTCAAGCTTCTATGTTGTTAAAAATGTCTTTAAGAAGTCACTAAATCATTTTTAATTGGAAGAAAAAAGTCCATGATGCTTGTATAAGCATCATGTATAAATACAATAAATGCTATATAAGGAAACTTATTGGAAGTTTTATTTTCATTTCTAGATTCCAATAATACAAACATTGGTTGTTTCAACATAGTACTTTGATAGTCTATACATTGACGTGTATGGACTAAATCAGGATGAAATCAATGTTACAAAATTTAAGAGTATGTTAACTAAAGGATGGCATTTCTAAATATTTTGAATATTAGGTCATTTGACATTTTTCAATAAGTAGGCTACTTCTCATGTTTTGAAACTACATGGATATGCAAGAAATAGCTTAAGACCAGCATCTGTTTATGACATTGTATGGTTAACCCTCTGGGGTAACTGTTTTTATTTACAGAATTGAACTTTTGTTTTTAAGAAGTCTTACGGTGGAACTAGGGATCACTGTTTTGAGAGAACCTGCATATATAACAGTCATTATTTGTTTGGTCCTTATACAGTTTTACCTTCGATTTATTCTAGTTAAGCCATAAGTTTCAACATTTAAACTTGTTTTGATTGAAGAATTTTTCCATCAAACTTTACTAATAAATTACTTTCTTGCTATTTACAAGAGTAAGTGATGGAATGCTGGGTTTTCTGCCAAGGAAATAATTTCTTAGTTAACTGGTCACAGAGGCTGTGTTCTTTTGGGAAACAGGGAAACTAAACAGTACACTTCAGATGATAAAAATAAAGGAAATATTATTTAGAATAGTATATCTGGTGAAAGTATCCTTCAAATGTGAAGGGGAAATAAAGACTTTCCCAGACAAATAAAAGCTAAGGGATTTCACTGGTAACAGACCCATCCTACAAGAAATGCTAAAGGGAGTACTTCAACTAGTAAGAAAAAGATGTTAATAAGCAATAAGTAATCACCTGAAAGTACAAAACTCATTGGTAATAGTAAGTATACAGAAAAACAGACTATTATAACACATTGGGGTGTGTAAACTACTCATATCTTAAGTAGAAAGACTAAATGAGGAATCAATAAAAAATAATAACTACAACAACTTTTTAAGACATAGTACAGTAAGATATTAGTAGAAACATTAAAAAGTTAAAAGCTGGAAACCATCATTCTCAGCAAACTGACACAAGAATAGAAAACCAAACACCACATGTTCTCACTCATAAGTGGGTATTGAACAGTGCGAACACATGGACGCAGGGAGGGGAACATCACACACTGGGGCCTGTTGGGGGATGGAGGACTAGGGAATGGATAGCAGGGTGTGGGGGAATAGGGGAGGGATACTATTGTACATTAGGAAATACTTAATGTAGATGATGGGGTGATGGGTGCAGCAAACCACCATGGCACAAGTATGCCTATGTAACAAATCTGCATGTTGTGCACATGTACCACAGAACTTAAGCATAATAAAAAATATAGAAGTTCTAAAAAGTTAAAAAGCAAGAAGATAAAGTTAGTTCTTAGACTTTCTATTAATTTTCTTTTTGCTTTTTTTTAAATACAAAGACTATTATGTAGTTATCAGGTTAGAATAATGGGTTATAAGATAGTTTTGCAAGCTTTAAAACTAGGGTAAACCCCAAGCCAAAAAACATACAGATACATAAAAAATAAAAATAAATAAATAAAATAAGTTATATCACCAGAGAAAGTCACCTTCAGTAAAGAAAGACATCAAGAAAAGAAAGAAGAAAGTGAATATCACAGGACACCCAGAAAACAAATATCAAACTGGCATGTGTGAGTTCTTGTTTATCAATAATAACATCAAATGTAAATTGAATAAACTTCTCCATCAAAACATATAGAGTAGCTGATTGGATGAAAAAAGAAGACCAATTGATCAGTTGCCTACATGAAACACACATTACCTGTAAAGACACACAGTCTGAAAATGATGAGATGGAAAAAGATATTCAATGCCAATGGAAACCAAAAAACAGCAGGAATAGCTATAATCATATCAGACAAAATAGATTTCAATATTAAAACTATAAGAAGAAATCCAGATCACTATAAAATGATAAAGAGGTCAAATCAACAAGATGATGTAACAATTTAAAGCATATATGGACCCAACAATGGAACATCCAGGTATATAATGCAAATATTATTAGTGCTAAAGAGAGAGAGAGACCTCAATATAGTAATAGCTAGAGACTTCAACACACCACTTCCAGCAGTGGATAGATTTTTCCAGACAGAAAGTCAACAAAACATAATCAGGCTTAATCTAAACTGTAGACCAAATGGATCTAATAGATATTTACAGAACTTATCATCCATTGGCTGCAGAATACACACTTTTCTCAGCACATGGAGTATTCTCAAGGATAGACCATAAATTACATCACACAACAAGTCTCAACAAATTGAAATAATATCAAATATCTTCTCTGGCCACAATGGAATAAAACTAGTTACTAATAACAAGAGGAATTTGGGAAACTACACAGATACACGGAAATTTAAAAATGTGCTTCTGAATGACCAGTAGTCAATGAAGAAATTAAGAAGGAAATTGAAAAATGTGTTAAAACAAATCAAAATGGAAACACAACATACCAAAACTTATGTGATACAGCAAAAGCAGTCTTAAGAGGGGAGTATATATGTACAAGTGTCTACATCAAAAAGAGGAAAACTTTGAAATAAATAATTTGGCAATTTATCTTAAAGGGCTAGCAAAGCAAGTACAAAGCAAACGCAAAGTTAGTAGAATAACATTAATAAAAAAGATCAGAGTAGCAATGAATGAAATTAAATGAAGAAAACAATACAAAAGATCTAAGAAACAAAAAGTTACTGTTTTGAAAAGGTAAGCAAAATTTACAAACGTTTAGCCAAACTAAGAAAAAGTAGAGAAGATACAATAAAATCAGAAGTGAAAAAGGAGACATTACAACTGATGCTACAGAATTTCAAAGAATCATTAGTGGCTATGATGAGCAACTATGGTAATGAAATGGAAAATTTAGGAGAAATGGACAATTTCCTAGACACATACAACTTATTTAGTTTGAACCAGAAAGAAATCCAAACCTGAGCAGACTAATAACAAGCAATGATATTGAAGCTGCAATAACAAGTCTACCAATAAATAAAAGACTGAGACCTGATGGCTTCACTGATGAATTCTACCCAACTTTTAAAGATGCAATACCAGTCCTACTCAAACTATTCAAAAAATTAGAGGAAGTGTGGAGACTTCCACCGTCATTCTATGAAGTCAGTACTACCCTATGAAAACCAGACAAAAACATATAAAAAAAAAGAAAACTACAGGTTAATATTGTTGATGAACATTGGTGTAAAAATCCGCAACAAACTCTACTAATCCAAATTCAACAATATATTAGAAAGATAATTCATCATGACCAACTCAGATTTATCTTTGGGATGCAAGAATGGTTCAAAATACATATATCTATCAATGATTTACATTATATCAACAGAATGAAGGATTTTAAAAAATGGCCATTTCAATTGATGTGGAAAGGCATGTGATAAAATTTAACATCCCTTCATAATAGAAACCTGTAAAGAACAGGTGATAGAAGCAACTTACCTGAAAATAATAAAAGCTATATATGACAGACCCAAAGCTGGTTTCATACTAAATGGAGAAAAACTGAAAGCTTTTGCTTTAGGCTCTGGAACACAACAAGGATGCCCACTGCCACCACTGTTATTCAACACAGTATTGGAATTCCTAGCTGGGGCAATGAGACAAGAGAAAGATATAAAGGGCATTTACATTTGAATGGAAGAAATCAAATTATCCTTGTTTGCAGATGATATGGTCTTATATTTTTCTAAATAAACCTTAAATTAAAACCTTAAACCTTAAAATTCCACAAGAAAACTACTAGAAATGATGAAAAAGTCAGCAAAGTTGCAGGATACAAAATTGACATAACAACACCCAGGAGCATTTCTATATGTCAGCAGTGAACAATATGAAAAAGAAATTGCAAAATATTTCCATTTTCAATAGCCACACATAAAATTAAACCCCTTCAATTAACCATAGAAGTGAAAGATTTCTATAATGAAAACTATAAAACACTGATGAAAGAATTTAAAGTCTGCACCAAAAAGTGAAAAAAATATTTCATACTCATGGATTAGAAGAATCAATATTGTTAAAATGTTCACACTGCTCACAGTACTCTGCATAGTCAATGCGATCCCTATCAAAATACAAAGACATTCTTCACATAATTAGAAAAAACAATCCTAAAGTTTATAAGGCATTACAAAAGACCCAGAATACGCAAAGCTATCTAAGCAAAAGCAAAAAAACTGGAGGAATTGCACTACCTCACTTCAAATAATATTCCACTACAGAGCCATAGTAACCAAAACACCATGATACTGGCATAAAAACAGGCACACAGACCAATGGAACAGAACAGAGGATCCAGAATTAAATCCATAATCTTACACTGAACTCATTTTCAACAAAGGTGCTAAGAACGTATACAGGGAAAAACACAGTCTCTCATTAATGATGCTGGGAAAACTGGATAACCATATGCAGAAGGATGAAACTAAACCCCTACTCTTGTCATACACAAAAATTAAATTGAAATTGATGAAAGACTTAAATCTAAGACCTCAAAATATGAAAGAAACTACTACCAGAAAACATTGGGGAAAATCTGCAGGACATTTGTCTGAGCAAAGATTTTTGAGAAGTACCATACAAGCACAGGCAGCCAAAGCAAAAATGAACAAATGGGAACACATCAGGTTAAAAAGCTTCTGCACTGCAAAGGCTACAACTAACAAACTGAAGAGACAATCCACAGCATCCAAGAAAATATTTGCAAAGTATGACTCTGGCAGGGGATTAATAAGCAGAATATATAAGGGACTCAAACAACTCTATAGAAAAAAATCTAATAATTTGATCAAAAAATGGGCTAAATATTTTAGTAGACATTTCTCAAAGGAAGACATACAAATGGCAAACAGGCATATGAGAAGGTGCCCAACATCATTGATCATCAGAGAAATACAAATAAAAACTACAATGAGATATCATCCCACCCCAGCTAAAATGGCTTACATTTAAAGGACAGACAATAATAAATGGCCATGAGGATGTGAAGAAAAGGGAAAACTTGTATTCTGTGGGTGGGAATGTAAGTTATTACAACCACTATGCAGAATAGTTTGGAGGCTCCTCAGAAAACTAAAAGTTGAGCTACCAGATGACCCAAGCAGTCCCATTGTTGGGTATATACCCCGACCCCATCATCTCAGCCCAAAACCTCCTTAAGCTGATAAGCAGCTTCAGCAGAGTCTCAAGATACTAAATTAATGTTTAGCAATCACAAGCATTCCTACACATGAATAACAGATGAAAAGCCAAATCTGAGTGAACTTCCATTCACAATTGCTACAAAGAGAATAAATACCTAGGAATACAACTAACAAAGGATGTAAAGACCTCTTCAAGGAGAACTACAAACCACTGCTCAAGGAAATAAGAGAAGACACAATAGATAGAAAAACATTTCATGCTCATGGTCAGGGAGAATCATCATGA